AAGAGAAAAAAGTTAGAAAAGTCACCATGTGTTGCCCATCTAACATTTCCTGATCTTCGACAACAGCCATGTCCAAACCATCTTCGACATTTTGGTACATTCCAACCTGCAATTATGATTCCTTGAAAAACCCCTCCTTCAAAAAGTCAACATTAGACACCTTCTGATAACGTCCATCCCCCTGCACGTACATCTCTAAGTCGCCCATCATCTAAATAAGTAGATGACTGCATTCTTCGAAAGCAAAGAAAATATTTTACCCCATTCTCCATAGACATGTCCTGTTCTAAAAGGGGCATTTCCACCGGAGGATTGGTTTCGTTGACTACGGAAAGTTGTATTGTTTCATCGCCTTGTGTAACATCGATAACATCCAAAGGCTGTTCATCTTCAGCGATGGCAACTGATGCAGTACCCGACTCTCTTGCACGGGATTCCAAGGTTTTAATGTCCAGATCGCGTTGCTGGAGTTCGGATCGGGGCGCCTGCTAAGGTGAGAAAAAAAATTTACCTGAGATTTCAAAAATAACACGATATAGAAGTGAGAACCATGAAAATATAGTATGAAACAGTCTACATTTTCTTTTACTCTCAAGCTTTTAAGAAAGCAATAGAGGAAATAGCACCAAGATGTCAAATGGTAGAAGAATTTGCCACGATTTCGCTCCTTCATACTTAGGCGACGTTATTCCCCACTTTTCCCAAGGCGTTCGTTAGTAAGATTATATAAAACAAATTTTAGGAGAATATATGAGCGTCAGCATAAATTGGGAACCAGACTCAAAAGCTGATGCATGAGCAAAAGTGTCAGTAAAAGTACGAGAACAATTGAAAAATGTAAGATAGGGTTTTGCCAGATGATATAAGTGGAAATTAGGTTTGTACTACAACGGAAAGGAAAATAATGGAAATGAGAATAATTACCTGTTGCGATTCTTGCTCATAAATCTCCTCCTCCTCATATACTGGAACCACAATAGAGTTTGCAATGATATCTCGTAATCGCACCTCGTCAAGCATTTTCCGTTGAAATTCAACTGGCTAAACAAAAAAAAA